CATCAACATTATATAAAATCTAATGCATGCTATTTTGGCTTGAATTATTTCTTAATTACTCAAAACAATACTTTTCAGTGTAGAAATACGATTGTCTTAGCTGATATTTTTCTTTTTTAAAATAAAGACATAAATTTTCTAAAAAGACTCCAAACATTATCAAACTTTGGTTATCTATTATTACGATTGCTACCTCTTTATCAGTTTTGAGCTTTTGTATTATAAGGTTTTTTGGCTGCAATCATTGATAAAGAAAGATCAAGCATTTTACACTGCTAAACATAGTATTACATTAAAGTATACTTAAAATAAGTTGTATTTTTTGCGTTAGATAGATCATCCGTTGCATTATAGCCAAACATCATTTCTTTTATACCCAAAGATAAAAAAGGTGCTACATTTATTTTAAAAAATTCATTCATAGTTTTTTTGACAATTGGACACATACAAAATAGATGCTCATAGCTATCAACATCATTACTACAAAAAGAAAATAAAGGACTTTCTATATACTTTATTTTGTATAAAAGATGATTGGTTCCAATAATCCTGTGTAAAATTCTTGTTTTGAACCATTGCAACATGGCACATTTTGTAATTCGAAAAGGCATTTCGAATATAATTTTCCATTCATTTTCACTTAAAGCTAAATTAAGGTTGTTTGTCCATTTTCGATACTTGTTGGCTTTGATTTGTTTTTATGTAATATATTATAGAAAGGTTTTGCTCCATTTATATCTGATATAATATCTTTAAAGTATAGCGGTATGTCTGGGCCAATGCTTTTCTATGGGATGTTATATATTATATTATCTATTTAAAAATTGCTTTACTGATAAAATCATACAATTGCAAATTAAGATATTAGATTGAACATTGTATCTATTAAAAAATTCATTATAAAATAAAAAAATCCATCAGGTGCTATAAGCTGTTCTATGTTATAAACACCAGCATCGAACCACAATTTTAAATATACGCTTTTTGAAACCATTAAAATGTTATTGTTATAAAATAAAGGATGTTTTCCGAAAGAATGATTTTTCGATTGGAATTTATTCTATATATCGTGATTAGGCTGTAAAAGTATCCTTCAAAAAAGTTTGTTTCTTTTGCAAGTTTATCAAAGTAATGGTTTCCGCAGTGAAAAAACTTTTGCATATCTATTTTGTCGTAAAGAATACTTATCCAACAAGCATTTGAGATTATTCTTTTATTTCATGCTTTCCAGTGTTTTAATGTAATATATCAGATATTTATATTCTGATAAACCACTAGTGAAATATATAAAATATAATTTTCACTGTAGCCGAACTATATCTGAATGCGGATGAAAAGAAAATCATAACTAAATGGAATAACAGGCAGCAAAAAATGCCGTCATGCGTAAATTTTGCTTCTTTAGGAAAAGAAAGTCGATTTCATCATACATCATGTTAAAAATGTAACAAAATAAGAGAAATTTAACAGACCTATATTTCAAAATTGATCATGTGACGTCATGATAAGATGACGTCACAAAGGCAAATGCGTGACGTTACGCGGCACAATCAGTAAAAAAATACTTAAAATGGCTACGCCACTCGTGAAAATATTGCATCTGGTGTTCACTCAGTGAAATTATATTCCAATCTTACATGCAAAACAAACAAATATCCTCTATTTAAACCATGTTATTTTAATGACATGATAAAGGCAGAAATATTTATCATCTGCAAGCCGCCCTCAGCATAGTTTTGACAATAACGGAATACTTAATTTTTACATTTCCTTGTCAAATAAAGCCATAAAACATTTTATTTAACACAATGATTACATCTTCAGAAGTGTTTGGTAGTGAAATGAATAAAGGATTAAGAGATGAAATCAAAAGAAATTTAATGACAGCAATTTTACCTATTGGTGTGAGAATTTTTCTTTTCAAATTTTGAATAACCTTTCGGATATTTTCTATTCTTTCGGTACAGTTTAAATCTATTATTTTACTTAAGTCAACATGAAAATTAATGCCTAACATTTTAAATTAATGTTGATTCCAAGGCAATTTCCATCTTGTTTTTATACTGTTTTCAGAATATTTCATTTTCCCTATCCACACAACCTTAGTTTTATCAAATTTAACATTAAGTCTCGATAGTTGTGCAAAATCTGACAAGATTTCCAAAGATTTATTTCAAGACGCACTTGATCCACCTAAAAGCATTGTTGTGTCATCTGCAAATTGTGAAAATTTATGTTCTTCATTGTTAATGTTTATTACTTTAATAATGTTTTCAATTCTTATTTTTAAAGCTAGAAGTTCAGCACATAAAATAAAAAATATCACATAAAAACACACATTTATTAAAAGCAGAAGATGCAACTTTATATAAAATATCAAACCATTTTTTTATAGAGGAACCAAAGTTACATTCTGTACAAATGGACCAGGGGAGTGAATCAAAAGCTATTCAAAATCTATTAAAAGGAAAAGTCCAGGAATATTATTTTCTTCAGTATACTGCATGATATCATAGAAAAGACGGGTATTTACTCCAATATATCCTCCTTTTGTGAAACTTGTTTGATCTTTATTTATTAGTTTATCTAGAGTTAGTTTTATTCTAGTTTTATATACTATGCAACCTGCAGCAATTTTGTATACCGTATTCAGAAGTGTTATAGGTCTCCAATTTTCACGAATTGTTTAGGTTTATTTTCGTATGGAATACATGTTATTACACCTTTTGTTTGGGTCACTGACAATTTATTTGAAGTATAAGCATCATTGATTACCACAAAAAGACCTAAATATTTCCAGAATAGCTTATAAAAATCTGCACTAAAGCCTGATGTCCCCGGGCTTTTTTTATTTGCCATATTTTGTAAAACTTTACTAGCTTCTTCATAACTTATATAGCCTTCTAATACGAGGTATAGTCAAAAAGTTCCCGGACTTACGATAACTTTGTTATTTTGTGTATGATTTTATAATGACATATATCACATTAAAATTTAGAGAAATCGCTGCATGAATATATAAGAGTCAATGATTTTCATAAATGTTACACATATTTAACACCCCGTTAAAGTTACACACTATGTCACGTACGGATCACTTCGGCGACGTCGACGACGCTAACGACGTTCAGATGACTCTCATATTCCAGAAATAACTTCACGTTCATGCTTTTTCAAAATAGTCCCCATTGTGTTCAATACACTTCCTGTGCCGCTGTACCCACTTCCGGTAAATGTCTGCATACCACTCAGGAGTGTAACTTCTTATTGCGGACCTCACAGCATATTTGATTTCATCTTCTGTATCAAACCTCCGATCCCTCAAATCTGCTTTCAGTCTAGGGAAAACACAAACGTATAAGGGGGCGAGATCGGGGCTATAAGGGGGATAACGTAGCCGCTCATATCCTAAAAAGTCAATAGTAAGGAGTGTCTCGTCTGCGCGGTGTTCTGGAGGGTTATGCATTTGTCATTATTTTGCCCGCCCGGGGGGGGGGGCGGGCTGACCAAGGGGAATTTGACATCTTAAAATGTTTGAAGTCTAAATCCTCACCCTAAAGACAACCATTTTTGTCTAAATCCCCACCCTTGAGCCTGCTTGGTGCATCAAATGCCCCGGAGGGTAGGGGAGAGAGTAAATATCTAAGAGATCAATCAATAAAAAACAATGAAAAAAATGAATCCTGATTAATTGGCCTCTGAAGTAAGGTAGGTATAGTCCCAATGACTATATATGTATCAATTTCAGTTTAATAACTTTGATACTATTCAAATGATTAGACTTAGAAGAAACTTATTAAATTGGTATTTTCAAGTAATAAAGGGGTTTAATTCTAAAAAAATGCATCCAGGGTTGTAGGCCTTCTTAGTATGGTAGTGGTAGTCCCCCTAAATATCGGTGCCTAGTTTCAGTTGAATATCTTTCATAGTATAGAATGTATGACTTTTAAAAGACTTAAACCAATGCAGACACTGACACACAATCAATCGTATAAACACTTTAACTCTTTACCCCATGAATACGTGTATTAACGCATATGCGACCAGTGCAGATCCAGATCAGCCTGCACTTCCATGCAGTCTGATCAGGACACCCACTGTTCTCTTTTCAGTCAGAAATTCTTTTATGGATATTAAATAGAAACAGTGGAGATCCTGATCAGACTGCACGGATGTGCAGGATGATCTGGATCTGCACTGGTCGCATATGCGTTAAAACACGTATCTATGGAGTAAAGGATTAATATTTTCCTAGAATAGTTTAGCTGCAAAATAAACCTAGTAACTTGGTTTCGGACTCCACATTACCCAGTTTCTTTAGGGATGGTAAACATCTTGACCAAGTTTAATTATGATTGAACCATATCTGTGGCCTTTTAGAGTGTTAAAACACTGAAAGTTGAGGACATTAGACTTGCGAAGACAGTCATCCACCGATCACAATAGCTTTGTGCTCCCAGCTCAGGTGAGCAAAACACTTATAAAACTTAAACTTCTTATTGTGTTTTAACATTAAATTTAACACAAAAAGTCATTAAAAATAAGATTCTTCCTTCTCCTGCGGCCAAACCTTGACACCACTTCCACATTTATACCTGAAATAGAGGGCATTTTTATAATCTTTAAGGTTTCAAACTTTATTAAGGATCGTTTAAATTGGACCAAAAATGTTATAAGCTTTGATCTAGTGACTTAATTTTTGACCCCTCATGACCTAATTTCGAACATGTTCTATATTTCATAGAGATGAACATTTACACTAGGTTTCATGAAGAATGGGCCAACAATGTGGCCTCTAATGTGTTCACATTCTTTTTCTAAGATTCGACCTAGTGACATAGTTTTTGACCGCACATGACCCAGCTTTGAACTTTGCCGAGATTTCAGCCAAACATTATGTCAAAGTTTTATGAAGAAGCGACAACTATAGCTCACCATGAACACAAAGCTACAAAAAGAACTGACAAAATTTTTTAAGCTGGGTTGCATGGTGTACTCACATTCTGATGCACTCTCCTCAAGAGCCTGGATAGGAGCAGGAGCCTCGATGGGAGCTTGAGTCGGGATAGGAGCTTGAGCCATGATAGGAGCTTGAGTCTGGATAGGAGCTTGAGCCTAGATAGGAGCTTTCAAGAGCCTGGATTTTTTCGAAATTAATAATTAAGTAGCACAACTTAACAAAGATTTCCAACATATATTTTGATAGATAAAACAATAGGTTGTTTTTAATTCTATTGGAAAAAAATGATACTGAATTTTGTTTTTCGTTTTTGTAGAAAACACATTATTTTCTCAAAAATCTACTAGTAGTCTATCAAACTTATCTTTCAATTATGGTGGGGAATCACGTGATATGGAGACCACATGACATGGTATCGCAGCATTTGATAATCTTTCAGATTAAGATGTCCACCTTGGAAATCTGTGTCAATATCTTTTGTTTAACTGAACATATTTTGTTGAGAGCACGCAGAGTATGCGTAACTGACAGGACTTGCAGTAGCCACCAATAACATTATATTAAACAATATTGTACTTTTTCAGGAGAATCCACCAATTTTAAGTTTAAAGGAACATAATGCTTTTGTGAGTAAAATTTCAATTACTGAATAATCAGATCAAGATCATACTTATCCTCTTATTGAACAAAATGGCTCTTTTCCGCATTACTATTCTTCAGAAATTATTTTTTTATCCAAACATACTCTACCTTCAATTATTACATTTGCGCTACATGAGCGCAATATATTTATAGCGTATTTCGAAGATTTTCTTTCATGTCTGCAAATTTTTACATCAGATATCTACTTGATGTCATTGGAGTGAATACAAATAAAGTTTACAAATGCATAATGGACTTTAAGATACCATGTTACGCGGTCACCATATCAATGATTCTCCACCATGTCAATGATAAAATACGCATATTAAGATCACAGAAATGCAATACCCCTTATGTCTTGTATGGCTTTCAGAAAAAAAAATAGTTTTTTGGCCTAAGACTCATTTAATGTTGAGGCAATCATTTATGAAATTCCACTCATAATGTCATTGTGCCCGAATACCTTTTTTCGAAGACCGTGTCTCTGCCGCCTTTGCATCAAAAATGAAAATACACATGTATAAACGGATGCATTCATTGGTCGTGTGAAAACCTTAGACTAATGAAAATACTCCGTACACTAAAATGAAGAGAAGAGCACTCTGCAGAACCATTACTTGCATTACGATTTGAAATTTGACATATCGGAAAACGATTTGTTATAGTTTTATAATATGATGTTTTGATTGAACAGTTATTACAAATAATAATATAATTTGATAATATTTATATGCGCAATACAAAAAATATTCATTCATTTCGAATAAACTGCCGTTTAATTGACAAAAACCCTGAGGTCAGGTCTCTGTCGAGTTAAACTTGCGGTGACTTCGAGATTGCATGTCCTCTTATAAATTGAAAAACACTTCAAAAACACGAATAAAAATATCGCCATCGTCTCTAGACCTTTCGCGGTTACTCCCCTTTCTTATTTTGTGGCGTCGAAATTCCCGATTCCCGGGATGTAAAAACCGGCCAAAGTCTATTACCCGGGACCCGGATTCCACAATTTTGTCAAATTCCCGCCTGTCAGGAATGGTCTTCTGGCTAAAGCCCCGTGTATGCCCATAACCCAACCTTACCCCCCCCCCCCCCGAACGGGCAAAACATTAATGGGTGCATTATTTTGATGAAAAATTAAATTTTCGATGTCGCACCCTGCTTGCTTTTCGCTAAAAGCGTTCGTTAGATCCCTCGCACAACCTGTAAATAACAAATTCATTTTTTTTAAACTACCACAAATGCGGCAAATTATAAAAATAATAGTTTCTTTCACTTTTTGTTATATTTTATATACTTTTCACCTTACATATGAATAAACATAGAAATTTAGTAAAAATATTTTATGCGACATAACTAATGATTACCTTTTTATAGTAGTCTTTGTTGACTGTCGCCGATCTTGTCACCGCATGTTGCAACAGCATACACTGGCTATTCATGAAGAAAATATACATAACTTTCTACGCCGACTTGCAGGTTTTCGCCTTCTTGGGGAGGAGGTGATGAAGGTCGCTTCCACACCATCGACTCTCGTTTACTCTCCGGTTCGTAAAAAAAAGTTCACCCACGTCTCATCCGTAGTGATAATGCACCTTAGGAATCGTTGGCCGTCTCTATCATATCGCCGTAAAAATTCTCGGGAAGCGTCTACACAGGTTGCTTTGTTTTCATCTGTAAGTAGCCTAGGTACCCAGCGGGCGCATACCGTATCCATATTAAATCCTTCGTCACTATATTATGAACAGTTCCAAGACAAAGCCCGACGGTGTCTGCGATATCATCAATCGACGTTCTCCGATCTTTGGCGATGACGTCCTTCACATCTTGGATTGAGCGCTGATCGTTACCCGATCTCTCGCTTCGTGCACTATCGGTAATTTCCGTCTGACCTTCCCTAAAACGCTTGTGCCAGTCAAACACATGTGTCCTAGAACAATTATGAACATCCTCCTTCTGATTCAAAAACTTCCAGGTATCAGTCAGAGTCATTCCTGACCTCGCACAGAATTTTATTAATGCCCGCTGCTCCGTACATTTTTCTGAGGTTGTCTTTTTTTCGTATAGAAATTTTCACGTGGCTTGAATAATCGTGCACAGAATGGCGATACGTCATCCGATCACGCTGAAATTTTGCAGTTGTTTACTTGTAACGTTTAGCTGACGTCATGTACAAAAATCACGACGTTCTGGCGCCAGTATTTTGTGACATTCATGAAAGAGTATTATTCACTTCTAGAAAAATCAAATTAATTCTGAAAAGCTCCGTACACAGGTTGCGGGCATATTTCCAAATATTTACTAAATTAATTTCTTTTCATACATGTTGCTACTCAAATTAATTAAAAATACCTTCATGGTAAATTTCATGACAATCGGACGTCAATAATCTTTTTAAATAGACCAGTTCGGGTCCTTTTGGACTATACCTCGTACATTGGATTCCGATTCACGTAAAACCGGTGCTTCTATATTTCCACAAATTGTAAAAATTGATCCTTTGCATCATATGACAACTTTTTGCTGAAAAGAGTTCTATAAAAATCTTTAATTTCCTTTTATATTAACTTTTGATCATTTAAAATACTACCGTCATCTTTTTGAATCTCTAGTATAGTTTTAGTTATGTAATTGTTTTTTTCTAAACCGCAAACAAAAAATTGAAGGGTTTTCTCCTTCTAACGTCCATTTTGCTTTTGACCTTATAAGATAACCTTGAAGCTGAATATTATTAAGTTCTTTTAAATTATTTTGCAATTCTTGCTATCGATTAAGTTTATCGTCTGACAAGTTTGATTCGATTTCATGTAGTTCATTTATATTATACTTTTTTCATCATTTCTTTCTTAAAAGTGTTCTAAAAACAACTGATCGTTTATCGTAAGCTGAATTTCATCATTTGATATTTCCGATATATTTTAAAGGTTATATATAGGTAAAGCACACTGTTTTTTAATATCAATTATTTGTGTCTGTATTTTATTCAAACAATGTTTATCTTTTAAAAGGGAATTATTTGTTGTCCATAGACCTTTTCCGTGTATTAAATCATTAAACTTTATCTTCATTATAACAATTGAATGATCTGACTAATAGCTTGTCTCAATGTTGATATTTTCTACAAAAGGAAAAAATTGATTCAGTTACCAGGAAAAAAATCAAGGCGTGCTTGTTGGAGTGGAGTCGGTTTACGCCAAGTGTATCTGTTTAGATTTAAAATTAATCTCTGAATGGATCAAAAAGATTTCGCTGATTTATTTATTTTTTTGTAATATAAAATTTCTAGCTTTATTACTATTTACAAATTTATAGTTGTAATAATCTTTCTCAGGATCTAAAACTAAGTTCAAATCTCCACACAAGATATAAGAATCGTTTCCTATTCTGTCAATGATATTAAACAATTCACTGTACAAAATGGTTGATCTGTATTTGGACCGTAAAGATTTATAAGGGTTATTTTTTTTTCAATTGTGAAGTCTACAAGGTTAGCTTTTAAGAAAAGCTAGTAGCGACTCGCAGGGTTGTGTTTAAATGTAAAAATGACAGTTCTGTTAGCTGAAAAGACTTCAGCGAACATCAAAATAAAAGTGACATATAAAGTTATGGAAGCCAGTTCTCTCAGTTTAACAAAGAGAAATACGATGCATGTAAACAGAGTAAATACATACACTAAATACAGGTGGGGATCGCCTATAGAAAAGCCAGGATCCGGGATCATATTAAACATATAGTAATCCCGGGAATTGACAACCTGTTCTTGGCGTTATCGACACAGAATCAGACTTGTAATGTTCAAATAATGTTACTCCTATCAATATAATTATGAGTATATTGTACCTTTAAAAATATTAAAACAAACGTTTCATTAGGACAGATTATCATTTCCCTATGAAATCATTACAATACGTGTACAATATTTTAAACAGAATATCTTTGATCTAACATATCACATTTAGAAAAACCGGGATGGTATTAGATATAAAGCGATCCCGGGAATTAACCACTGCCAAGTCATATTAAAAACAGCCGGGATCGTATTAACCCATTACGCGATATACACGCCTTTTAACGCCTTTTTCACCCCCCCCCCCTTTTTTGTTGTCTCAAATGGTGAAAAAATGACTTATTTAGGCCCCAACACTTTTTCTTGATTGAGAAATGTTGTTTAAAAAAGTGACCACTTTTTCGGCGCGGCCCCCAACCAAAAGATACACCAGGGAGTTGCCAGAAGGGGGATGTGCCCCCTTCTGTTTGGGGGGGGGATGAAGGGGGCACATTATTTATTATCATTATTCTGCATTTCTACCTTCTTATCTAATCTGTTTATTTCTTCTTTTAATTTATCATTCTCTACCTCCTTATCAAAAAGTCTTGATTCCAAAATGTCAATTCTTTTATCTACGGATTTTAGAAGTTCTTCTTTCATTTCAGCAATTGTTTCTTTAATCAGTGTACGTATTGAGCCGTCGTCTTTTTG